AGAAATAATTTATTTGTTAAAAAGCCCATTTTTGCTAAAAGCCTTTTTTGGTCTCTGACCTAGTTTTAAGCGTGTAATAAAAGAAAGGAACTTAGCCTTTTTGTTGGGGGGTCTGCAACATTGAAAAAGATGAAGAACGACAAAATATTTGCAGAGAGGTTTTTTGAGAGTTCATATTGAAAACTCATGTGGCTGTTCCTTGTTAGCCTCCATGAGTGATTAAATAATCATCTTTTCATATATGTGTGAGTTCATGAGCATTATGCATGTTGGTGATCAACAATCGTGCCTTGAGGTGTGAGCAGCCGAGACTAGAGTTGTGCCATCTCTTGTTGACGAAGGAAGACAAGATCGCTGGTTGGGTTGAGTAGCAAAGGCGAGTAGGCAAGTCTGCCTTGTGAGCGTTAGTCTTGTGAGTTGAGACTTGTAAGACCTTTTTGTATTCTTTCTCATAGTGATTTGTTCTCCGGCATAGTGCCCGCAGTTGTTTTCCTCATCTTGAGGTTTTTTACTGCGTCAACATATCGTGTGTCCCTTGTGCAATTGTTTGCGTTTTTATTTGAATTTATTCTGCTGCGTATTCTGGAATTTTTTGCTTACAGGATTGTTACAGTATTTCAATCCTGTTGTGGTTTTTTGAGTATTAAGAAACAGATCAGTTGGCCATTCTAGGGAATTTCAATTGGCATCAGAGCTGGTCACTAGACGTGCTTAGTGAGATCGTTGGGCTGTGCTAGAATGGATCGCGCATGTGGGTCTGTGACTCATCCTCCATTTCTTGATGAGAATACTAACTATGGGGCTTGGAAAGCCAAGATGAAATATTTTCTGTGGGCTCAAGGTACAAAGGTGTGGACAACTATTGAGAATGGTTGGGAACCTCCAACAAAGGAAATTAAAGGGCGTGGAAAAGAGGTTGAAGGTGAAGGCCAGTCGACAACAAAGGTTGTAATTAAGCAAAATACAGAGTGGACTGATGAAGAAAACGATATGAGTGCCTACAATCAAAAAGGTCTTAACTCCATCTTCACTGCGGTATCAGCTGAAAAATTTGAGTTTATATGTCATTGCAAAACCTCAAAGGAGGCTTGGGATATTCTGGAAATTACTCATGAAGGAAATGCCACTGTCAGAGAATCCAAACTTCAACAACTGATGACTAAGTTTGAAAATATGAAGATGCTGGAAACTGAAAAATTTGCTGAATTTTACGCTAGATTGAGTGTGGTGGTGAATGCTTGCAGCAACCTTGGTGATGCAATTCCTGAACACAGAATAGTGAAAAAGATTTTGAGATCTCTGCCTATGATGTATCACGCCAAGAAGACAGCGATTGAAGAGTGTAAGAATTTGAACACTTATAAACTTACTGAGTTAATTGGTTCTCTTACCACTTATGAGATGGAATTTCCAGAAATAAAGAAAAGTAAGGGCATTGCTCTAAATACAGTGAAAGAAGATGGGAGTGACAGTGTGTCAGAAGACAAAATGGATTATGCTTTGCTTACAAAACAATTTCGTAAGTTTTTGAAATCTAAGAATTCAAGGTCTGGTGAACAAAGAGGAAATTCAGGTTCAAGTACAAGAGGGAGTCGCCCTCGTGAGTTCACTTCTGACAAGTTATCACATACAACCAGAACTATGGAGAGAAAGGGCTCTAAAGATTCACTGAAGTGCTTTGAATGTGGTGGATATGGACACTTTGCCTCTGAATGCGCAAATAATTTGAGGAAGCAAAATAGTGGGAAAAATAAAGTAATGGCAGCAACTTGGAGTGATAGTGAGTCTGATAATGATTCAAATTCAGAAAATGAAGATCAAGTTGTTGCTTTCTCTGGGAGAATTCATGCGCAAAAGGATGAGAACTCTGATGTTGAAGAACCTGAGATAGAAGTGGTGATGAAGCAATTCAATAGTCTCTATGATTCCTCTGAAAAACTGAAGAAGAAAAATGCAGAGTTTGCTGATCAAGTGGCTTTTCTACAAGACGAACTAACCAGGACTGAAGCTGCCTTTCAATCCCAGCTGAAAACAGAAGAAAATCTGCGTGGGTCTTTGCTTGAAAAAATTCAGATGCTCCAAGACAAGTACCAGCTGCAGAAAGATATGAATGTTTCTCTTACTTTCGAAAGGGACCATGTTAGTGCTGAATTAAAATTAGCAACGGAAAAAATATTTGGTATGACCATTGGTGCAGAGAAGATTGACAGGATGTTAAGTCTGGGAAAAAGGGCTGGTGATACGAGAGGTTTGGGTATTGAAAGTGAAAAGTCTAAGCAAGAGGTCAAAGCTGTGAAATTCATCAAAGAATTCTCTTCTACTGAAGCGAATGTTAGCCCAAAGAAATTTATACCAATCTGTCATTTTTGTGGAGTTTTTGGTCATATACGGCCTAGATGCAATGTGCTTAGAAAGGAGAAGAGGTCAGCTTACTACTATTCTCCAAGAAATTTTAATCCATCTCAAAGAACCAAACTAGTGTGGAAAAAAAGAGAGGAAAAGTGCTTGGTGACTTTAATGGCCTTATCTGCTAGAAAATTTGATACATGGTATTTCGATAGTGGTTGTTCAAGAGATATGTCTGGTGATAAATGTTGGTTTACAAATCTGAATACAGAGTGTGTGGAAGGCTCTGTGACATTTGGAGATGGAAGTAAAGGTAAAATTTTAGGAAAGGAGATGTTGAGACACTTGGCTTACCATTCTTGAAAAATGTCATGTTGGTGGAAAATTTACAGGCAAATTTGATAAGCATCAGTCAACTTTGTGATGATGGTAGCAGCGTGTGGTTTGATAAAGATCAATGTTATGTTGCTGATTTTCAAGGAAAGAAGGTTATGAGTGGCATGAGATCCAAAGATAATTGCTATTGTGTTCAGGTGAATGAGAACAAAAGTCTTGTGTACAATCGCGCTACTGATGACGTGATGGAACTGTGGCATAGAAGACTTGGTCATATCAACTTTCGTGATCTCTTGAAGCTGTCCAAGAATGAGTGTGTCAGAGGTCTGCCAAAGCTGAGTGGTAAGTCTGCAGGAGTGTGTGGTGCGTGCCAATTAGGTAAGCAAGTCAAGAGTGCTCACAAAAGCATATCCTACATATCAACATCCCAACCATTAGATTTGCTGCATATGGATTTAGTTGGTCCCATTCAGACTGAGAGCATAGGTGGAAAGAAGTATATGTTGGTGTTGGTGGATGACTTTACTCGGTTTACTTGGGTTGATTTTCTTCGTGAAAAATCTGATGCATTTAAGAGTTTTCGTGGCCTATGCAACAAAATTCAGATCGAGAAAAATGCTTCACATGTTACTGTCATGAGACTTCGAACAGACCATGGAACAGAGTTTGAAAATATAAGCTTTGCTGAATATTGTGAAGAGAAAGGAATAAAGCACGAATTTTCAGCACCTATTACACCTCAACATAATGGGGTGGTTGAGAGGAAGAATCGCACCTTGCTTGAAATGGGACGTGTGATCTTGACAAGTGCTAAGATAGCGAAGAAATTTTGGGCAGAAGCTATTAGCACAGCATGTTATACAGCAAATCGTGTATATCTTAGACCGGGCACAACTTCAACTCCTTATGAGCTTTGGAAAGGGAGAAAACCTAACATAAAGCACATGAGGGTTTTTGGGAGCGTCTGCTATATTTATAGAGATAGAGAAAACCTAGCAAAGTTTGATACAAGAAGTGATGCTGGCATCTTTTTGGGTTATTCTCTCACTAGCAGGGCTTATAGGGTGTTTAACAAGAGGACATGTACGGTAATGGAATCAATTAATATTGTTGTCAATGATACTGATATGTCATTTGGTTCTTGTGCAGATGATGATGAGGATATTATTCCAGCAGCTCATAGGCAAGAAGAAAAGGACAAGGTGGCTAACATTAATGATGAAGTGCATGCAGAAGAAGATATGTTTTCACCTCCTCTTAGACCTGGTGCTCGGCAAGTCCAAAAGGACCACACACCATCTGATATTATTGGAGATTTAAATGATCAAAGAAAGACAAGAAGCCAAGTCGTTGCAGAGGTAACTCATCTGTGCTATGTTTCCAAATTGGAACCAAAAAATTCAAAAGAAGCACTTCTTGATTGTGATTGGATCATGGCTATGCAAGAGGAGTTAGACCAGTTCACTAGAAATGATGTGTGGTACTTGGTTCCACGTCCCAAGGACTTGAATGTGATAGGTACAAAATGGGTTTTCAGGAACAAAACTGATGAAAATGGTGTTATTACAAGAAATAAAGCAAGGTTGGTTGCACAGGGATATTCCCAGGTTGAAGGGTTGGATTTTGATGAAACTTTCGCTCCCGTGGCAAGGCTTGAATCAGTTAGATTGCTTTTAGCTATAGCTTGTCATATGAGGTTCAAACTACACCAGATGGATGTGAAAAGTGCGTTTCTAAATGGGGTTTTACAGGAGGAGGTATATGTAGAACAACCTGTAGGATTCAAAGATCCTTACAATCCTGATCATGTATATCGTCTTAGAAAAGCTCTCTATGGGCTGAAGCAAGCTCCTAGGGCTTGGTATGATAGGTTGTCATCCCATTTGCTGAATAAAGGGTATGCCAGAGGAGCTGTTGACAAAACTCTGTTTGTCAAAAAGACCAACAAGGACTTGATTGTTGCTCAGGTTTATGTCGACGATATTGTTTTTGGGTCTACATCTGAATTTCTTGTAAAAGAATTTACTGAAGTTATGAGCAGCGAATTTGAGATGAGTATGTGTGGGGAGCTGAGCTATTTCCTAGGCCTGCAAGTCAAGCAACAAGATCATGGTATCTTCATTTCTCAAACCAAGTATGCAAAAGACTTGGTAAAAAAGTTTGGTATGAGTTCTGCCAAACCAACAAGGAATCCCATGGCTACACACAACAAAATTGATGCTGACCCTTCTGGAAAAAGTGTAGAACAAACACTTTACAAAAGCATGATTGGAAGCCTCTTATATTTAACAGCCAATCGACCCGACATCTCATTCAGTGTTGGTGTGTGCACTCGCTTTCAGGAAAATCCAAAGGAGTCTCACTTGAATGCAGTCAAGAGAATCATCAGATATGTAAGTGGTACTCCAACTTTAGGTGTATATTATTCATTTGACTCAAATTCTGAAATTGCAGGTTACACCGATGCCGATTGGGCTGGAAACGTTGATGATAGGAAGAGCACATCTGGAGGGTGCTTTTATGTAGGTACTAATCTTGTGTCTTGGCATAGCAAAAAGCAAGCTTGTGTTTCCTTGTCTACAGCCGAAGCGGAATACATTGCTGCTGGAAGTTGTTGCACACAACTACTATGGATGAAGCAAATGATGAGTGACTACGGCATTCATCAAGGTACTTCAACTCTTTTTTGTGATAATCTGAGTGCAATAAATATTTCCAAAAATCCGGTTCAACACTCACGAACAAAACACATAGATATTAGGCATCATTTTATTCGTGAATTGGTGGAAGAAAAGGTGGTAAGTCTTGAGTTTGTTTGCACAGAAAAACAATTGGCTGATTTGTTTACAAAACCATTAGACACTGTTCGTTTTGAAGCTCTCAGGAAGTCTCTTGGTATTTGTTCCATTGAATGAGCCCCCTCTAATTTTTTTTTTTTTTTTTGCATTCACATTTCATTGTTGTATTCCCATGTCGATTAGGTTTCTTAGTTTCTGTTATTATTTTTTTTCCTTCGGTTTTATTTTTTGTAGCCTTGTAGTATATCATTGCATTGCATTTTCAATCCCATTGTCCTAAGCTTGTATTTCTTTGAACTAAGATTGGGTTTTCTAGTCTGAGTACGGGACTAACTGTGAGACACATGCTCTTAGTTGGGAAATATTTTTCTATGTTAGTCTCTGGAATTAATCCTTGCTTGGCATTTTCACAGCATTTCCTTGGTTCTTGCACATGCACACCAATATGAGCTATGAATGCCTTTGTTGCAAGATTTCACTTTAAACGACAATGATAGATATCTTTGGAGCTTGACTCAGGTTATCCCAAAGTAGCCGGACCGTGTCGGGGGTTGGGTCGAATACGGGATGGCTTTGTCCATATTTATTTTCAAAACAAAAAAAAAAAAAAAAAAAGTGTCACAACTTTGAAGCCTTTTGACTCGAGTTGCTAAGCCCATGGAGTATCCTTGATATACTTAGTGCCCTTAAGTCCTCTGGCTTGGGAGCATCTGGCCTAAGACTTATTACAAGTCACTAGAAAGCTTAATAAAGTTGTGGACCGTGCTCCATAAAGAAAAAATATATATACAGCACAATTGTGAATCTGTTGAATACCATTTGTATGCATTGTCATTCCTATCTCTCTATTGGTTCACTTTTCCCACCAAGGACCCGTGTGCACTTTTGCTAGCCTTGATTATATGGTGTTGCCTGACATGCAGAGATATTTCACAACACTTGATGTTGTGGGTTCTCATTGTTACTCTTCAATTTTGACTTGATATCTCCTTACAAGCTTTGCTTAGAAATCTCGTGTGTGACACTGGTTTAAAAAAAATAAAATAAAATAATTTCATCTTGTGTGCCTTCTTGCTCCTTCGTCATTACATGTATCTTTTCATACATTCATGGGAGATTTCATAATTTGGAACTTTTGCCTACATTGTTCTTCCTGGGAGTGGTTGTTTGATGTGCAAGTGGTTATTTCTTTGAGGGGGAGTTTGCCATTACCTATCCAAAAAAGGGGGAGTAAACATTCTGAGTTTTATTTTGACATATTGTCTTTTCAACCATACATGCTTTTCACTGGTTATTTTTTGGTTTAGTGGTGCAGAATTCAGGTTACCTTTTCTATTGCAAGTGGTTATGTTTGAGGAATTCTTTTCACTCACTTGTACTTGGTTTAGGGGGAGATTGTTAGGACCAATTTTTGGTATATTGGCAATTTCCTGTTACAAAAACATAGAGTAGGTCTTTGAATGTAACCTACAGTTTTCAAGTGACATTCTGCTATCCTGGATCAGTGTGGCTCAGAGACAATGCCAAGGTATGTTTTGCATCCATGCATTCATATTTTCATATTTGCTTG